ATCAATATTAATCACAACAAAAATGTGAAATTTATTTTTCCATTACCCAAAGCCTCGAGAAGCTGTACAAGGTCCACTCAAGAGGCAAGTCTTCACCACTATGATGTATTATTATTTGCAGTCCGTTTGACAAATGTTCTCTTAACTGTTATTAACTACTTACAAATATTGTACAGCATGTAAAAACTATTAAAAACGATTACATGATGGCGCAGACTTTGTCAAAATAAATCAAATTTAATAGRCAAAAGTTTCCATTTAAGTAGGTGTGAGTAGATTTATTGAATAGTTAAGTTGAGGCAAGTGATATCTAAGTGCAGGAGCGAGTACATCATAAATATTAGCGAGTCAAGTAGAAGGCCATGAATAAATCGAAGCTTGACAGAGGAGGAAAGTTTCCGCAAAAAAGTTATGAGACATTGGCCGCAAATGAATTATGTTGCCCACACACTAGAACCATCACATCATATACATATATCAAAGTGAACCGCAAGCATAAGCACACAGGGGCGCACGTGCTACGCATGCCCCACCGCCATAAARGTGCTTTGTCACTTAAAGTATCATTAAGTCTAATCGGATGGTAATTTGGCACTTCATTGCGGGTAAACACAAATTCAAAAGGCTGAAGGCGTTGCTGAACTGAAGTGCGCAGATATCTTTTTTCTGCTGACAAGCAGRTTATTTTGGGGCGTATTTTCGTTGGGGAAATGTGCGCCGTTGTCATAATGAGCAACTTGAAATTAATTCAAAATCACGTTTCAGCTATTAATTTGACAACAATTCACTCACACAAACAAACACACACRTACACATGTTGACAAATATCTGCGAGGTGAGGTTAGTGTACAAGGTTGATTGCAGATTGCTCAAGATAAACTATAAGCCACTGCAGAGGACATTGCACGGTAAATGGTATATGTATGTATACACTAATACACATACACATTTAACACCGTTTGTGTATTGTAGTTCTTCGCATCTTCGCACATTCACTCACTATTTCTATTGAAGTTGCTGATTTCGCTTAAAAAATAGTACCTGTGTGCTTTGCGCGTAAAACGACATAAGTCTTATTTTCGTGATTTTCTAATTTGGCCGGTTTTACCTTAAAAATGGTACMGAAATGCTTTAATACATATGTCGAGTTTAATAACACTTAATAAAATACTCTTAAAAGTTGGTACTTAGAAAAGTGGACTTCTMTCCTAAAATGCACTGAATGATTTCTAGCTAAGTTCTTTTTCAATGAAATCGGTTTCAAAATATATTKAGCTTTCGAAAAGATGTMCAAAARGAWYTTTTAAAATTTTTATAAGAAAAGTTTTTTTTAATAAATTTTTAGTTCGTGTTAATATTTGATTTATTAGAAATAAAATAATTATATTGTCAGTTGTGAGTACTGCCTGCTTTGTTAGTAATAATTTTATATTAATATATCCAATCCTTCATAGAATGATACGAAGAATCTATGTAAGTCAAGGAAATCTTGCTCCAAACACGTTTAGTAGCTGAAGTTAATGCTTTCTTATCTTCGTATTGCTTTCTTCCTTCRTATACATTCCGTGTTAGCCAGCCCAAAGCAA